CTCTATGGAATTTTATCAAATGGGGAATTCCCTGGTGGTCCACTGGTTAGGACTCCATGCTTTCACTGCCGGGGGCCCAGGTTTGATCCCTGGTCAGGGAACTAGGATCCCGCAAGCCAAGCAGCATGGCCCCCAAAAAAGGATTCTATCAGATGAATGTTCCACAGTTTAATCGTTCCCCTGTTGATGTATATTTTGGTTGTTTCCAGCTTGATTGACTGCTTGCTTTTATACGCAATGTTCAGTGTTCTGCATATGTATAAGGAGAGTTTCTCTAGAGAAGTGTTTTTCTTTCTTTTTTGAGGGGGGTGGGTTGGGGTGTGGCTTGTGGGATCTTAGTTCCCTGACCAGGGGATCAAACCTGGGCCCTCGGCAGTGAAAGCTCAGAGTCCTAACCACTGGACTGCCAGGGAATTCCTGAGAAGTGTTTTTCAAACTGTGGGCTGCAACCAGCATAATTTAAAAGCAGAAAGAGAATGGAATAGAAGGTATTGGAATGGGATTGAAGAGAAGATATTAGTATAAGAGTAGTGCTTTGTAGAACTTTAGTTTTGGGGTAGGTGTGTAGGTAGATTTAAATGTAAAATGTATTTCTTACTTTGGATCATGGGCAAAAAATTTTCAAACTGCCCCTTCAGGGTTGTGTGCACAACCTGAACCTGACTGTTACTGAATTGCTCTCCAAAGTGGTGACGGCACTTACAGTCCCGAGTGTGGTATACCGGTGTCTCTGTCGTTCTCCGTTCTTCCCAAAAGTTTGTTTGGATGGACTTTAAAATTTTTGTCCATTGTTGAGTATGAAACAGTATCTCATTGTGGTTTTAATTTGCCTTTTCCTGATGGCTAGTGAGGTTGACGTTAATCCCTTTTTTTTAATACAGGAAAATTAATATACTTTATCTGCTAGATAGTAGATCAGTGTTGAAAATGGTAATGAGTATAATCCTCAATGGTATATTATAAATACATTTCCCTGAATAGTTGAAATATCTTGACTTGCTAATACTAATGATTGACAGTTGAGGGGCTTAAGTGGTTTAATTTTATGAGTTTTCTCTTTATACACTGTAATCTGTGCTCAGTTCTGTAAACCCAAATCTTTGAATTTGGCAAAATGACCTTATATTTGTATTCATACAAGACCATCAGTAGCCATTACTGGCAGCATATTAATATTTTTATATATTTGTATAGATACCTGCCCAATATTTTTCTTTTAAAATATTATAATAAAAATATATGCATGTGGTATTTAAGAATATAAAAGGATAAAAAAATTAGTCTTTCTTTTTTTTCCTCCATTTCTCCTCTCCAGGAACAGCTACTTTAAAAAGATTCATATATGACCTCTTTGATGTATATACTTTATTATTGTTCTCTTTTCTTTTTTTGTTTCTAATTTTGTTTCTCAAATGACATTCTAGTCATTGTTCTGTAGCTGGCTTTTTCATCTACTTAATTATATATCTTAAAGATTTCTTATTTCAGCACATGAATTTTACCTTATTCCCGCATGCGTGCTGCAACTAAAAGATCCCCTGTGCCGCAATTAAGACCTGGCGCAGCCTAAATAAATAAATAAATAAAAATTGAATCGATTTAAACTCCCAATAATGCTTCAGAATGAACTGGCCAGCATTTAATGCTAACTTGTAAAAGTGCTCACGTTGTTCAGTATGTATGTAGTTGTAGTTTGAATAGATGATATTTTGTGGTTTCCAGCTAGATGATAGAATGTAGAATTTATGAACCTTTGTTTGCCTTTCTTCCTTTTACCTTAGAAAGCTAACAGACTTTAGCTTAATATAAAGCTAAATGAACTGTTAAATATTAGAATAATACATGCTTATTCAAAATCTTTCAGAATCTGTGAAAGCTGATATTTTAAAATTAGATATCAAATTAAATTAGGCTACTGTTACTGTCTAAGTTAATTTACTACAAAAGAGTACTATCAACAGTTCTTTTTTAAACATTAACTGCTCTCATTGATAGTCTTGAAATAGCAATTTACTGAGTTTCTCATTATAAAAGGCTTGTATACAGTGTTAGATACTGTTTTAATCAGTACTCTTTTATTTGCAAGCAACAGAAAACCAACATGTTCACTTAAGCAAAAGGGGAATGGTTTTTGGTTTGTGTGACTAGGAAATTTGTTTTTTAAAAATAAATTTATTTATTTATTTATTGTCTGCATTGGGTCTTCATTGCTGTGCACGGGCTTTCTCTAGTTGGGGCGAGCGTGGGCTACTCTTCGTGGTGGTGCGTGGGCTTCTCACTGTGGTGGCTTTCTTGTTGCAGAACCTGGGCTCTAGGTGTGCAGGCTTCAGTAGTTGTGGCACGCGGGCTCTTGAGTGCAGGCTCAGTAGTTGTGGCGCACAGGCCCAGTTGCTCTGCAGCATGTGGGATCTTCCTGGACCAGGGATCGAACCCATGTCCCCTGCATTGGCAGGCGGATTCTTAACCATTGCGCCACCAGGGAAGTCCTGACTGGGAAATTTGAATGACAGGTTCTGTCAGTACTCATGAGTTATTAATACTTATCTCCCATTTCTGCTTCTGTCTCTTGTCCTTATTCCCTTCTTCCACAAGGGAGGTAAAGGTGGGTTAGCCACATACAGCCTCTGGCCACCTTCATGGAAAGAACGAGCTTCAGAGCACTTCTCACTCAGCATCTGAATATAAAATCCCAGGCAAGACTCTCACTGGCCTGCTTTGCCAGTGATCAAGAGGTGGAATACTGTGTTTGGGGGCCCCATCAGAATCACATGGTGTAGGGGAAGGGTAATTCTCTAAAGGGAATGATGCTAGCTAATGCTTCCAATAAAACAAACGTGCCAGATCTTTCTTTGGCATAAGAGGTGGGTGTTCAGCTATGGAGGTGGAATGGATACCATGAATAGGTAAATTGTAGAGTAACAAATGATTCAAAGAAGGCTACGAAAATTCAGAAGAGTTTGGGGGAGTTAGAATAGTCTTTTGGAGGAAATGGTACCAGAGTTAAATCTTAGGGTGGTAGTGTTATGTTCCACACCAGTTGGTTTCTTTCTTCATAAGGTCACTTTTATTCATCTTTTTCTTCATTCCCACAGCCAGACTCTGAATCCAGGTCTTTATCTTCTGGGTAGTTGCAGAAGATGCCCTGTGTCTGGTTTGTTCCCCCTGTCCTATTCATTGTATACACTGAAGCCAGAGAAGTCTTTCTGGAACATTCTTCTCATGTCCCTGCCCTGCTCAAAAAGTCTTCATTACTTCATTCAAAGCCATCAACCTACATTACTGCCAGAATAAAGTGCTGTAAAAATGCCTACACCTAACATTTACGGATCCATGTTCTGATCCTAGAACTACTTTTCCAGCCTTTCCTTATGTAATCCTTTACTTGGACTCTGTTTGACAGCATTTTGCATAAACAGCTGAGAGGAACACAGGGACTGTTTCTATAAGCAGGTTTGTCTCATTTGGTGACTTGTGTTTCTTCTCCTGCATTTGAGGGTATTCCTCTAGGTTCAGTCTTCCCTTTAATCCTTTTCTGCTTTCTCTCATTTATACTTTTGCAAATGAGGCCCAAGTAACTTCCAGAAGACAGTGAAATGGACTGGATTACCATCGTGATGCTTATTACTAGCATGGTGATTCTGTGATTTAATTGAATCTGCGAAAACTGCATCTTTGTAGTAGATGGATATTTGCTGAGATGGAGGAGGTTTCTTTCTTACGATGTAGGCTCACCAGCAAAGTCTGGCCCAGAGTGATCCCTTGGACTTTTTTCTGCAGAAACTAATGGATATAATCTTATTTGGAAAATCTTTCCAGTGAATGAATATGGGGGGTGCATTGTATAAAATAAAAGATCTTGACCTTTTATATTCTTTAGCATACTTTCTTTTCCTGGTGCCCTGTACCCTTTTAGTTTGTACATGATGAGAATTCACTAGATGTGAGGAGGGCACAGCAATGGGGAAGGGAGGAGGCAGTTAAGAGGTGACCAGCAACCCAAAACCATAGTTAATAAAACTTAGTTAATAAAACAATAGCACAAAAATAAATTTAATGTTAATTGATCTCATAAAAAGTCTGCTATTTAAAAGTACATTTGCTATTCTGTAAATATCATTGGAAAGTGTAATAATAATAATAATGCAGGCATGGGCATGGCAATTCTGGAGAAAATTGTTTCTTTCCATAAGTTTCTTATTAATACCTCATAGACTTGTTCAGAGGATTAAATGAGATCTGCTTGCTTGTTATGAACTAAGGTCTCAAATGCTATATATTGATACATTTACATACATATATATTCCTGGACTGTACATTTCATAAATTGGCGAACAGGCACGCCTCCTGTTGCTTAATTTACAGCTAAAAATTATAATCTGTTGTCTGTTTCCTAAGTGAGCCCCGCTCCCCCTTTTTCTCCCAGTATTGGAACCCTGCTTCTCTTCTCTCTTCCTTATTTCTTCTTCCTTTCTGTCTCAGCCCTAACCTTGTGCTTCACTGTGGAACTCCCCATTACATGGCTCTCAAGAAGAACTGGCCAAGGAAAGGGTGCGCTGCACCAGAGAACTTCCTGTCTGATTGCTGAGAGGCATTTCTTAGTGCAGCTGGCACCATGTGAGATCTGTTACGCCTGTTCTCTTCTTTGGAGATGTCTTTTTCTCATTTATGTTCTTGTCAGATCTTTCACAAACGCACTGTTATTTTTTATCATGGTTACCTGTAAACCAGTTAACCCCTCTAGATAATTGAGAACTGATTATAATTGTAAATTTTTTTTTACTTCTAGTTTGGGATATAATGGGAACACTTTAAATTTAGATTTTCTATAGACTTAAAGATTAGAGCTAAATCATTGCTTCTTGGTATTATTTTAACTTGACAGTTACTGGAAAAATAGAAGTATGCTTCTCTCTTTTTGGGGCTATATGTCCAAATAGGAAAAACCTTAGTTTGTAGAAATGATGTATTGATTTGTAATTATACCATTTCTTTATTTACAGGTAGGCGAAAACCGAGAGTACATCGGCCTCGTTCTCCAATATTGGAAGAAAAAGACATCCCACCCCTTGAATTTCCCAAGTCCTCTGAGGATTTAATGGTGCCTAACGAGCATATAATGAATGTTATTGCCATTTATGAGGTACTGCGGAACTTTGGTACAGTTTTAAGGTTATCTCCTTTTCGCTTTGAGGACTTTTGTGCAGCTCTGGTGAGTCAAGAGCAGTGCACACTTATGGCGGAGATGCACGTAGTGCTTTTGAAAGCAGTTTTGCGTGAAGAAGACACCTCCAATACTACCTTTGGACCTGCCGATCTGAAAGATAGCGTGAATTCCACGCTGTATTTCATCGATGGCATGACGTGGCCAGAGGTGCTGCGGGTGTACTGTGAGAGTGACAAGGAGTACCATCATGTCCTTCCTTACCAAGAAGCAGAGGACTATCCTTATGGACCAGTAGAGAACAAAATCAAAGTTCTGCAGTTCTTAGTCGATCAGTTTCTTACCACAAACATTGCTCGTGAGGAGTTGATGTCTGAAGGGGTGATCCAGTACGATGACCACTGTAGGGTTTGTCACAAACTCGGGGATTTGCTTTGCTGTGAGACCTGCTCAGCAGTGTACCATTTGGAATGTGTGAAGCCGCCTCTCGAGGAGGTGCCAGAGGATGAGTGGCAGTGTGAAGTCTGTGTAGCACATAAGGTTCCTGGTGTGACTGACTGCGTTGCTGAAATCCAAAAAAACAAACCATATATTCGACATGAACCTATTGGATATGACAGAAGTCGGAGGAAATACTGGTTCTTAAACCGAAGACTCATAATGTGAGTAAATCTGGTCTTAAATTTTTGTATGTATTTAAAATTAAGCCAACTTCCTTCATGATTGATGTAGAGCTGTGCTGCTGATGTGATATAAACCTTGGTGATTTAATAATAAGTTGTATAGTTTAATAATTTCTAACTTGAAAGAATATGTACATTAAAACAGTTTTTAAAATTGTAAGGAAAGAAGGGTGTATGAAAAAAAGCAAAATACACACCATTGTACTCAATGCCTAGGATGGAAAGCAGAACGTTACTTACTAGGTGGGATGCCACATGCCATTGTGGGCCCTTCCCCCGTTAGATTCCCTGCAGCCCACCATGAGGTAATCTGCATCCTAACTTTGGTGTTAGGATTTTCTTGCTTCTCTTTTTAGTTTTACTATATTGGTATATAAAATGGAGCAGCAAGAACAAAGAAACTGTCTAAGGAAAGATCAGTGCTGCCATGATTGGTTGCAGCCTCCCAGGAGAAGCCCAACCTGAGGGTTTTCACGAGATTCTTCCAGGCAGGACAGTGGGAAGGGCGGGAGGAAGTCTGGGGAAGTGAGGGTGCTTGGCAGGGTTGTAGTGTGGACTTGGTTTTGGACATCCTGTAGAAATATGGTCAGAGGGAGTGGGTTACTTTGTATTTTCAGCTTCTAAAGCTTTTCTTTTTAAAATATTTTGTTTATTCATTCATTCATTCGTTTATTTATTTATTTTCTTTTGGCTGCGCTGTGTGACATGTGGGATCTTAGTTCCCCGACTAGGGATCGAACACCCTGTACACCCTGCAGTGGAAGTGCGGTGTCTTGACCACTGGACCACCAGGGAAGTCCTCAGCTTCTAAAGTTTTCAAAGCCTTCTTCAAGCTCTCAGAATTAGGTCAAATCAGAAAATTTGTGGTGAGATGAAATGAAAGAGCAGGCATAGAGAGGAGAGAAGGAACTTCATCAGCACATGGTCAGGCCAAGCCAGGTACAGAGAAGTATCTTAGCCAGGTCCACCCTTAGTTTTTAAAGATGGTACAGAGTAAACAGTGAATTTCAGAATTTTGTACAGTTGTCTTCTTGTAGTGTTGCTGTTGAGAAACGTGAATCCATTCATTGATTCTTTGTATATAACCACTTTGGACTTACCTGGAAACTTGTAGAATCTTCTCTTTGCCTTCAGAGTTTTCTGCAGTTTTCAAGTGACAGGGCCTTGTGTGGGTCTGTTTTCATCCATTGTGTGTGTGGTGGGCACTTGCAATCTGACAGTTGAGTCAGTTCTGAGAACTTCCCTTGAGGACTTCCTCCTCTCCTTTTGCCTGTTGTATTTATCTTGAACTATTACTTTATTGAATGTTGGGCTTCCTATTTTGGTCTTCTGATTTTATCTTTTCACTCCAGTTTTCCTCTTTGTCTTCGTCCTCTTTGGAATGTGTGTGTGTGCGCGTGTGTTACTCAATTTTTCTAGATTTCCTTATCTTGGTCTTCAAGCCCTACTATTTATTTTTTATATTCTATCACATTTTTATTTTCTAAGAGCTCTTTTGTTCTTAAAATCATCCTCCTTTTTAAAAAATAAAATCAAATGTTAGTTTTTTGTTTTCTGGAAATAATAATTTCTCTTACTTTCAAGGATGTTATTGATAGTTTTTTCATGTGTTTTTCCCCACAGTGAATGGTCTGTGTTTCTTCCAGGCTGCTTCTTCCTGCTGTGTGTATTGGTCTGTCTCTTCCATCCTCAGATGTCTATTAATCCTTAATTTTCTGCTCCTGATTAGCACTGCGGGATTATACAGCTGATTGGAAGTTCTGAGCAAGTGTGTAGGCCATATCAATTTTGAGCTTAATCGTTGGGTGATTTTCTTAATCTTTTTTCTTGGTGGTCCCTGATGTCACTCACTATCTTTAGTCCTTCCTTCTGAGCTGGTCAGGTGACGCAGAGAGGCCTTCTCTGGTGTTCTGCTTGGAGCATGAGGGTTTGGCTGGCTGGGTGGTGGAGGCGGGCTGCATTTACTATGCACACCGCATTTACTGTGTACATAGCCACTCAGTACCTTGGTTTTCTGTACAGGACCTTTGTTCACACCTGCACCTGGTGTCCCCTGGGCCAGAGAACCTCACTTTTACCTCCTGTAGAGACTAAACCTTTAGTGGCTTGAAGTGGATAGATAGGTGGCCTTGGGATCTGCTCCTAAAACAGCTTTCAAGCACTTCTCTGCTGTCGATACTCCCCTCCTCATTTTGGTGATTGTTGGTTCTCAGCTCCACCCTTTACATTTCGGATTGGGCTTTCTTGGCTCTGGTTAAAGGCGGTTATCACTTGTCCATTTGCTTTCCTGCTTCCAAAAATTTTTTTGTTGTCTCTCTTATTTTCTCTAATCTTGTAAGTTTAAATCTTTAAAAATATTTCTTTAGTGGTTTTAAGAGGGTTTCAAGAGGGAGCAAACTGAGATGTGTGGATTCAGTCTTTTACCTTAATCCAGAAACTGATATGAGAAACAGTATATGAAGTTTTAAAAGTTTTAAATATACAAAGTATATTTTGTATGATTTGGTTTGGATCAGTTATTTTAAAATTTTGTATAATTTTTTTTGTTTTTTGCCCCCGTATCTCCCAAATATCTGGTTGTGGTGTTTATTGTGCCACCTTTCTCATGTCATGCTATGGAGATGTAGCATGGAAACTTGTGTTGGCGAGGTCAGTACAAGTGGAAAGATAACTGTAACCACGTTTTGGTTTGAAGTTTAATGCAGTCTTTCATTCTATGTGAAAAGTCAGTGAGACTGCCTTTCAGGGAGCCTGGTGCTTGTGCTCTCTAGATGTTCAGCACAGCAGTTTACAGACCCTATCCACTCAGTCTCATGTGCCTTCCCGGAAGGTCTCAGAGTCATCAGGATTGCTGTGAACAAATCAGGAAGTAAATGAAGTCTATTCTGTGCTCCTGTTCTCCCATTCTTTTGTTCCCTTCCCTATCCTGCCTTTCTTCACCCTTTTTGGATGTTCATTCTCACTGCCTCTCACTTCCTTCCCTGTGCTGCTGTTTTGGGCCCCAGACATCCCAAAGGTGCTTTGTCCACATATAGGTAGGCCTTGACGTCTGTAATGTAAGGCTTATCACACAATAATCAATGGTGTAGGCCTTGGTGTTAGGGACCTATAGGTGGAACTAGTTGCTGATGGGTTAGTAATAACAATAGCCAACATCAACATTTATTCAGCACTTAATATATGCTGTACAGTTTTTTTGTTTGTTTTTTACATATTATATTTACGTAGAAAAAAAGGAAGTTAAAATTTCAACAGCTTTTTTCTTTTTAAACAAAAAGTATATCCCCAGCCAGGAAAATGGGTAAATCTAGAGAGATCCTCAAGGAGTTTATTAAACTGTCAACTTGCCCTACAGACAGTAACAGATTTAATTTATCATTGGATTGAAAAGTTCATTTTTATTTTTATATAACCTAAATAGTAAATTTGCCTTTTCTCTGAAAATTTTATACACAATTTTATAACCTTCAAAAATGACAATAAAAAATCAAATTATGTTTATAAATTTTTGTTATTTCAGTATATAAGAACCTTTTACTTTCTTTTTGACATTTACGGTTTCACAATATATATCTTAAATTTGTATGTTTACTTTTTTTTTTGTCTTTATCCAGGCCATTTATTACTAGACAGTTGTCATACAGAGTGGTTAAATATTAAAGCTCTGAAAAAGCCCTGGTTTGCATTCCTGGCCTTGTTAATTACAAGTTCTGTGTCATATTAAAGCACCTGCAACCCTTCTAAGCCTGATTTTTTTCACCTATAAAATGAGAATTGTCATTGCTTCATGAATTGTGAATGCTTGTATGTTTATTTATTTATAAAATTTATTTATTTATTTATTTTTGGCCGCGTTGGGTCTTTGTTGCTGCACGCGGGCTTTCTCTAGTTGTGAGGAGCAGGGGCTACTCTTTGTTGCGGTGCGCAGGCTTCCCACTGTGGTAGCTTCTCTTGTTGCAGAGCACAGGCTCTAGGCGCGTGGGCCTCAGCAGCTGTGGCAGGTGGGCTTAGCAGCTGTGGCTCGTGGGCTCCAGAGCGCAGGCTCAGCAGTTGTGGCACACAGGCCCAGTTGCTCCACGGCATGTGGGATCCTCCTGGGCCAGGGCTCGAGCCCGTGTCCCCTGCATTGGCACGTGGATTCCCAACCACTGCGCCACCAGGGAAGCCCCTGTATGTTTACTTTAGTAATCAAGACACTATTTGCGAAGTATACCTAGTATTTTTATTATTCTGTTATTTACTTTAACAGCTTTATTGAGTTGGGTTTTTTTGTGTGTTTTTGTTTTTGGCCGCGCTGTGCTGCTTGCGGGATCTTAGTTCCCCGACCAGGGATCAAACCTGTGCCCCCTGCAGTGGAAGCACAGGATCCTAACCCCTGGACCACCAGAGAATTCCCTGAGCTGTTTATTAATTTATGTATTATAAAATTCTATTGTTGTAGATATACAATTCTATCATTTTAGTAAATTAGCACTGAAAGTCCCACATCCCAGGAAACATTTTCTTCTGAGACAAATCCAAGTGGTTGGTTACTCCACATTTCAGTCATTCTGAAAGTGGTCTCATATCTGTTTACAGTTAATCTTACTCCCATTCTCAGCCTTAGAAAATCACTCTGCTGTTTGTATAAATTTGCTTTTTCTAAACATTTCATATAAAAAGAAACATATAATAATATTATTTTGTATCTCAGTTCTTTCACTTAGAATAATGTGTGCTTTACAGTTTTCTAATAAGCATTTTGTATATACTTTTTTTCATTAACCCTTACAACAACCCAGTAATGTGGGTACTATTTTTGTACATTTTATAGATGAAGAACTAAACTCAGAGAAGTTAAATAACTTGCTCTAGGACTTGCCCAAGACTCTATGGCTATTAGGAAGTAGGACCTAGAATTATTTTTTCAGGACCTATTTATAAGAATATTCTCTTTTCTTGTTTCTTCTTTTCTTTTTTTTGACCACACTATGCGGCTT